CTGCATGACCTGTTTATGAAATGTTTTGCAATTAGGCAGATCTGATTGCATGAACATGCAAATGGGTAAGTGATAGATGGGTAGATATTTGGGGAATATGTAATAACTTCTGGTCATGTTTTATCGCACAAGTGTGTCTTAATGACAGTGGAAAATGGAATCGCCACACCATACCATCATGTATGAGGTAAGTTTTGGAACTGCAGTCACTCTTATTGGAGATATACTAGTTGTTCTTTGCTTTCGCACTTAATTTTGAACTGTTATATGTTGGGTTATAAGGAACATGTTTTTGTTATGCAAATGTGTTCTTCTGTCTAGTGAGACTTGCCTGTCTGGGTGTCTTAATCTGCTTGTGGCTTCCTCTTTGATCCTGCCTGATTGCATATCTGCCTTTTCCATCCATGCAACTCAGAGAATTCTTATCTAGTATGCATTTGGCTATCATCGGACTAAGGGAGTAAATGCGCTCACTATTGCCTTAAAATGAAATTATTCACTTTGTAATGTAAGATAAGAAAATGTGTGATATACATGATTTAATTTGTAATTGAATTTGGTGACTGTTTAATATGATTTCACTTACGTATTTAATTGAAAGATTTGTTTCTCATAATTAAGATAATAAATCTTTGTGATTGTAATATTTAGTTGATTTTCATGATATATATGTGGAAAGTAAAGGTCAGTTTCTTGTCTTTCAGGCCATATTTTGGAGATAAAGGAAATGTTTGAAGTTGCTGATTGTGGTTGCCCTGTGTCACCGTTGACAGACGTTAGTGGCCGTGAGAAAGTTGTGACTGAATGAAGGGGAAAATGCCCCTGTGATGTGTTGATGAGTGTTGGTGATAAACGTTCCACTCCTGGGAATGTTAAGAGGGACACAATGTGTCCTAGTGATGGTGGAAATGATACTGCCCCACCATAACTTCTTTATGAGGTAACGTGTACATAAGTTAGTTGTTCTGTTTGTTTAGCTTTATTTGCCAAGTATTAAATTTTGTTTTTATGTAAATGTCGTATTTATGGGAAAGGCTTCATCCTTCAAGTTTCATGATCCTGAATGTCGCATATGTGCTTTTGCCCGACTTTAACTGCATGCCTGTTCTTCAGCATGTTTAAACCTGCTTTCCTCTGCCTCTTTCTGCTTACCTGCCTGCCCGCCTGATTTCCTCATTCAACGTTCCAGATGGCATTGTTCTTACCTAGCATTCATGGGGCTTCCCATGGAATAAGGAGGTAGAAAACACACAGTATTGACTTGACATGAATCTTTTCAGTTAATAATGCGATGAAATTGAATCGTGTTATAATGGAAA